TTTTTTTTTTTTTTTTTTCTATCTATAGCCCACTGGGGTTGGCACCAGGGTGTATTTAGGGCAGGTGAAGTTAATTCTTTTGAACATTAATCGAAGCCTTAGCCCAACCATACATATACATGATTCTTTCTTTCAAATCCATATACACACATTTAATTAAACTAGCAAAGAATAATCTAATTGAAATCGAATGCCGACCTGTTTAGATGCGGGTGTTCAAATTAGGTTCAAAATATCACAATGTATCTAATTTTAGTTATAGTAATATTTGAACCTTAGTCACTTGATCTTAATAATTACAAGTTCGCCAATGAGCCACAGATATTTGTTTGCTATGATCTTATGTATTTTTAATTTTAAGTAATTTTTCACTTTTTTTAATGAGCGACAAGTATTTATTTGTAAATGCTAGAATTAATTATTAAAATTTATATACTAATAAATATTAAGATTAATTATATTGGTTTTTTGAAAATTAACATTTACATTTTAGTATTTTTTTTTTGTTCTTTTACATTTTAGTTATTCCATCATTTTTCGACGGTTACTAATTGTGTTTTGATATGTTTCTTAAAATTATTTTTCYGATACACTTTGTGTTTCCATACTTTGAACTTTGTGCTAAAATAACCCTTTGAGGCCAAGTGAATAAATAACAATTTACTATCATTTCTTATGATGATCTTTTTTCACAAAAATAAAATAATAATTTCTTTTATTTCACATATAATGGGAATACGAGGGTTAGCTTCTCAAATGCGAAGCAGCCTTTTTAGATGCGGTGGGACTGTGGGAGTTCTCTAAAGAAGTCCAAACCTGGCCTGTGGCCCTGTGGGCAGAGGTAGACCTCTCTGGACTCTGGAGTCTAGACCCAGCCATAGCAGTATGTTGAGATTAATCCCTATTATAAATTAATTGCACCCTTTTAACAAGAAGTTGATTAATCTATTGTTCRATAACAATTTGTGGAAATTCCCGGCTGTGGCGGATTAGAGTGATGAACCGTGTGACTATGATACCATCATGAGCATCAAATTTATATAGAAGGTTGCTCTTTTCTTTTAGGTTGTGGTTGGTTTGAAGGGAAAGATAGGGAATTTCCCTATTTTTTCCTTAGTCCTTATCTTTTCCTTCAAACCAAATATAGTCTCTCAGCCTTTTCAGGTTTCTTTATCTGTCAGTATTGCAGTAGGTAATAACTAACAAAATGYCTTAAATGTATGGTTAAATGAGGGTGAATGAGAGTTAATACCTAATAATTTAACAAAGAGAATTGAATGCAATGAATAATAATATTCAAATTATATTTTCTGCCCTATCTATTTCAAGAAAAAAAAAAGGTATTTTAATTCAAAAAATTCCAGAAATCTTAGACCCTATTYGTACTTTTTATAGTAGTATAGATATAGATTATTATTATCTTAATAATTGTTTCTGTTTCTACTTTCCCTGATAATAAAATCAAGGGTGTCTGTAATTAGTGAGTTTAGTTTAGATTGGGATGTGAGAATGAAATTGGAGCTTAGTTATATATTGCCTATTCCTTGAGAAGTAGGAGCAATGGAGCAAAGAGAAAGGACATCATCCAAATCCATTGCATTGTTTTGTATTTGTATTCTTCTCAAACTTAGCCAAATGACAGTAGGATGTCAACAAAAACAGAACTGACTTCTTCAAACGACAATCAATATGTTTCATAGTTAATGGTGATGCAATAAAAGATCAAATAAGATGGTAGTTGGTGAAGCTGAGTGATAGGTTGAATTGAATCATAATTCATGCATAGTGGTAATAATGGAATGACAACGTCCATTCTGTCTCTGCTCGTAGTATAATCCTAAAAGGTTTTACCCTACAATGCAAATACAAATATGGTAGAGGTGATGTTAAAGTTTGGACGCATAAAAGGAAATCAGATAGAGCTCCGCTCTGTAATTGTGGCCGGACAGTATTCTTCATCGTTGTTGAAACTTCAGGCTTCATTGACAGCATCATCAATAACTCCTCTCACTTTCGAGTTTCGAGTTTCAACTTTCTTCTTTTTGCTCCCTCTTCTCTCTCTTGACGCCAATTGACACCCTTCAATCTCTTTATCTTCCTTGAAATGCTTTCAATGGACAGCCCTGGGTTCTTAGGATTCTACATTGACCCTCTTCATTTTTKAGCTTTTCTCATTTGTTTCTCATTCGAATTTTAGAAGCTTACAAACCGATTTGAGTATGATGGAGACTAAAAATTTTTRAGTATGTTTTTGTTTTCTTTAACTATTTCCATAGAATATGCTCTGTTATTTGTCACAGTCCGATCGCCGACTATATCAGTTCATTGATGTTGGAAAGAGGTCTCTGTGAAGACCTCCAATCAGTTTTCTAGATGCACTCTGAAGGCCTCTCTGTGAATACTGCTGCATGGTATGTTTTTGGAATTTTCTTATTTATTTTTTTCTAAATTTTCAGTGTTAAATCTCTTTTAATCAATTTAAACATTAGATCCCATTGTTAGAAGTCAATTCCATAGATCCCATCTACTATTGTCATTGACGACATTTCTTTACAATCGGGTGAGGATGATGCCGCATCTGGGTTAACTGGTCGGGTCATCTCACGGTTCTCACCTACAGGAATTAGTTTCATTAATATGATACTACATCTGGTTAAGTGGTGACAGTCATTAAATCACATTGATGCTTGATCTTTTTAATCCTATTAAATTGTTAAAACACATTGATTAATTGATTAGATGATTAGTTGTAATTAGATAAACATAGATCAAGTTAAATGGTGACAGTCATTAACGTTAAGCTATGATAACTGATTATT